TCCTAGCCCGACACCAGGAAAGGAGGCTGAGGCAGCCGGTCCAGCCCAGGGTCCGGTGGGTACCCTCAGAGCCTCAGTACTCAAATCTACCTCTTCTTCTAAACTAGTAACCAGTCTACAGATGGAGCCCAGAGCCATGCAGTCAGGGTGGCTAAGCAAGAGCCCACCTCTGTGGGCAGGGAGGTGAGACGCCTCATCTTCAGGGTGGTTCCATGGAGCTCAGTCCCAGCCCAGCCACACCACAGCCCTTGTGTGACCTCTGGCAGGCTCTGGCCCGCTCGGAGCCTCAGTTTCCTCATCCATGACACAAGCAGGGTGGTGCTGCAGCCATGAAGAGCTCCTTCCTGCAGGGCCGCTCTCACTCTCCGTAACTCTCAGTTAAGATGTGGGGAAGGAGGCTCGGGGGCAGACGGGGCCAACACCTGGGATTATGGTAACAGAAGCTTCCTCACCCAAGCAGGCAGGGCCCTGGTCAAGAGCTGCCACGGCAAGCAGGAGGCCGCTCCCCTGCCCACTGGCAAGGGAGCTGGGCCACCTCCACCTGGGGGCCCCTCGAGGTGTGAAGGTTTGTCCTGGCCCAGTCGTGTGCAGCTTAATGAAGGGATCTATCATGAGGAACGCGCTGTTCAATGTCAGCGTGAGGCTAGCATGCAGTGCGCACACATCACTAGGCAACATAACCTTAGGGACCACTATGTTAAGTGTGGGGGACATGGTTGATGGGAGCACAGGGGCAGGCTTGTGCTGCCTGACCCAGTGTTCAGTCTCATCTCCTTCCTGCTGTGTGGCTTTGAACAAGAAACCCAGGTGTCCTGGATTTGGGGTTCCAGGACCCTGAACACTCACCTCCTTTCCAGAGTCAGGAGGGGTCAGGAGTGGGGTTTGCCTGTCAGGGGTCAGAACTCAGAAAGAACAGCCCATGAGCTAAGTGCGGCTGCTCTGAATATTCACCCCTGACTTCTGGGTCATGCTCCTCCAAGTTGTTCCAGGCTCTGTCACCTTGGGCCAGTTACCCACCCTCTCTGAGCCCCACCAAGGCTTGGTTTCTCTCATTGTCCTTTGAGACAAAGAAGACAACTCTGCTTTATAGAGTCAGAGCAAGGATTACACAGAGTAGGTAAAGTGCCGGCTCAGCACCTGACATATAGTTGGCATTTAATAAATGCCTCATTAAGCTGTTTTTATTCTCCTGGAGCCAAGCTGTGGGCCAGGACTTGAGTAGGCGAAGGCAGGGCTCTGACAGGATGTGGGGGTCAATCAGGCATCATGAAACCTGGGCTTGATTTCCGTCCTGCTCTGTGGCCTTGGGAAAAAGAAAAACAACTTCCCTGGGTCTCCATTCCCAAAATAAAACCAGTGATCTGGGTTCCAGTGGAGCTCACCCAGGTACCTGGCCCTCCCCGTAGCCTCCATGATTAAAATGTCGGCCCCTGGGCCTTCCCCGGGGTGTCAGGGCCAGGGAAGGGTCCGGCCAGGAGCTCCGCCCCACATCACAGGGTGGGCCCTGGTGTGCTGGAAGATACTTGCTAGGACACCTATTCTCGCCCTGGCTGAGCCCGGCCCAGCCTCACCCCCGGGAGGCTACAGCTCTGCCCTCCTAGGCGTGATTCTACAGGCCTCTGGTATGCAGCTGAACCCCAGCAGGTTTTTCCCCAGATAAATCACTGGCTGGGGGAGGGGGGGTGAGGGTGGAGGATGGGGCAAGGGCAGACAGGAGATCCCCCACCTGAAAATGGAGCCACAGAAGCTGGCTCAGAAAGCACAGGCCTGAGGGCTCAGGGCCATATAGATAGGATCCGCATGTCCATGAATCCCCAGACAATAGGTGTCAAGGCCAAATGTACCCTTCAACGTCTTTGATGCCATTTTCCAGAAAGGGATAGTGAAGCCAGGGAGGAGCTGGGGTTTGTCTGGGTCCCACAGCTAGGTAGAGGCTAGGCCTGTACTCTTGGCTCCTATACTGTTGCCCCCTTCCCCCAGTTCCATCTCAGTCTACAATTTGTAGGAAGGGGGATCTAGTGGGAGGGCCTGCCAGGAACACAGCCACTCCCCAATGGCAGGCCGAGCTGGCGTGGGATGAGTGTGTCACTTCCCTGCCCCGGGGTCTGCCAGCTGGGCTGATGACAGCGCAGGGTGAAGATGAGCCACAGGCTGGGCATCCTGACTCAGCTCCAGCAGTCCCCAATGGAAAGGAGGACAGAGAGCAGCTATGTAGAGCAGACAGTGAAACCCCACTCCAGACCTAGGGGATTGGGGTCCCCCTGACCCATACAGAATGAGGAGACAAGATGTGACTCATGGGGAGAGATAAACACAGGAAGAGCTAGTGGACAGGTAGAAGATGAAGGCGGGCAGAGCACATGCACTTGGCACACCTGCTCACACGCTCACGCTCACACACACACACACTAGTGTCAGCACCCCCACACACACTAGCGTCAGCACCCCCACAGCGTCCCAGACCTGCCCTTGCCAGTCTGGGAAGGGGCCAGCAAGGGAGATAATGGATTGTAAGGCACCTGACCAACAGCCCCTCCTAAGCCCTGACCACCATTCTGTCCTGTCACTCTGTCCCACTCTGGAGGGGGGATCAATAGGTAGGTCCTAGAATTATTGGGTGACAAGGGCCTGGTCCCCACCCACTACCCAAAAACAAGCTAGGTAATCTTGGGCAGTGACTAACCAGTCTGGCCTCAGTTTCTACATGTGAGAAATGAGGCAGATAACACTAGCTGAGATTATCAAGTGCCCAGCCCTCCATCCACAGTAGCTATTACTGCTGCTGTCTCGTTCCTGCCCTGCCCCTGCCAGTGGGAGCCACCAATGAGACTCATGAGCAGGAATTCATACAAGGGCAGAGGCAAGCTGGCACTGTGCTCCTGAACAAATCCCTGTCCCCAAGCCTCGGCGCTGAGATGACAGTGTAGTTTCCATCACCTCAGGACTCTCTTCCTAGGCTCTGGTGGACTTCCTGTTTTCTGAAAAGGGGGGCAGACTTGAGGGGTACAAGAGCAGAGTTCAATGCAGAGGTCAATGCCTGCCTATTGGGGGCCGCAGGAAGTCACCACAGAACCACACAGACCCATCTCACACCTGAGATCAATATCTCCCTGGCTGTCACCTTAGACAGGTGACACCAATAGCTTGCGGGGCTTTTGTGGGATGCAAATGAAGGTATAGGGCTCATTCCATGCCAGCTTGAAGGAGCTGATCTCAGCTGGAAGTGAGGCTCCGAGTGTCCAGCCTGGCCCCAGGCACCCCTATCTGGCCCCATCACTGGCTAGGCCACCTGTCATCCTGTCTGAGTGAGATTAGATTCTGGGTTGTTCCCACACAGAGCTGGAAAGTGGCACCTGCCTCCTCCTTGTCCTGGGAGCCCTTACCCTAGGCCTGTTTCCCCAATCTAAAAATGGAGATGAGCCAGGCATAGGTGGCTCACGCCTGTAATCCTAACTACTCAGGAGACTAAGATCTAAGGATCAGAGTTCAAAACCAGCCCAGGCAGTAAAATCAGTGAGACTCTTATCTCCAATTAACCATCAAAAGGCCAGAAGTGGAGCTGTGACTCAAGTGATAGAACCCTAGCCTTGAACACAAAAGCTCAGGGACAGCGCCTAGGCCCTGAGTTCAAGCCTTACAAGAGGCACCAAAAAAAAAGAAAGAGAGAGAGAGAGAGAAAGAGAGTGAGGGAGGGAGAGAGCACGAGCGAGAAAAGAAAGGAAATGGAGTCAGTTGATGGGTTATAGAATCTGCAGATCATTGGGTTCTGTGACCACCCAGTGCCCTCCCCATTAGGCACTGGTGTCAGTTCCTTCCCACCCTTGGGCAGGTATGGAGAGAGTTATTCGGCCAGAAAACTATGAAAATCCTTCCCTCCGACCCACTTTTCCCAGGCACCTGATATCCAACTTCATTATAGCCAGAAACACTTCATCTCTTGCCACCCCATTATACAGGCCTGAAACCTGAAGCTGCCCGCCCCTGAGGGGCAGGGACACCACCTTCCCGGAAACCTGAGCCAGGCTCCTCAGCTCCTGACCCACTTTTGGTCTCTTGGCAAGAGCTCCTCAGACCCCAGCCACTGGGATGCTCCCTAAAGCCAGAATCTGACTGTAGCGGCCCTACTCAAACAGGACAGCGAGGTGGGCAGACCCAGTGATGCACCCTCCTTCCCCAACCTGGGCTAGTCAAGTACAGTGGGACATGTAATCATCTCCTAGTATCTCTACTGCTTCCCAATGTGTGTCAGTAGGTCAGGAGACAGTAACCACCCTGACCATGGCAGGAAAGAGAGGTATGTCCAGACAAGGTGGGAGGACCCTTCTGATCCCTGCTAAGGACCACAGCACCCCACCCATCCCACCACCCCACCCCGACATCCTGGCCTGGACAGAGAATGCAAGACTCCCACTGCATGTTCTCACTGCAAGACTCCCAAAAGAGTTCAGAGAGGGGGAGCAGCTCACTCGACATCACTCAGCATAGCTAGGAAACAGGCAGATCAGACGACCTAAGGTCTAAGGTCTTCAGGCCAGCTCAATCTCCACACTTTATCTTCTCAGCCCCCAACAAACTTTCTGTCCACCAGAAGCTCATGGAGAAGTATGTGAACCCCGGGGACCCTCCCTCATGAATCAGAACCATGGGGAGTGAGGTTAAGGGAAAATCTTGCATTCCCCCCTGGTAGTGCACCCTGAGGGGTAGTAGCATCCCTGGGTCAACCAGAAACACCTTCACCCATGCATCAAGATTCTTTGATGTGAGACAGCCACTGTCATCTGCTGCTGGAGGACACCCCCATTCCTCTGCAGGCTCTGAGGAACCCCGTGAAGTTTCCTCCTCACAGCCAGGAAAGCAGCAGAGGGGCTCCCGCAGATCTCAAGCATGTAGGAGATCCCATGCACGTGTGTGGGGGGGAGACCCCATGTGGCAGCCAACAGTGTCACGGTCCCGGGTCCCCCTGCTCGGGGGTCCGCTCCCCGCCCCTCCCCTCCCCTCACCTTCTGGGCCTGGCTGATCATCTTGCGGACCACCTCTTTGATGTGGGCCTGCCCGTCGATGGGGGGCTGCATGTAGACGCTGGCCCGGGTCACGCCGCGGTAGGCGATGGTGTCGGGCCAGCCCAGGTCCAGCTGCGGGATGGAGCGGTCCGATCTCTGGGGCCAGTACTCGAGCGAGGGCGGCGGCTCGGGCTCGGGGACGGCCGCCCCCTCGTCGTCCGGGGGCTCCTGGGGGCGGCCCGCGGCGCGGGGGTTCTCGGAGCCGGGGTCGTAGACCTCGATGGTCTCCAGGATGCGGCGCAGCTCCAGCTCGGAGAGGAAGTCGCGGATGTTCTCCCGCTTGAGCACCTGGTAGAAGGCGTCGCGGCCGCGGGCCACGAGCGCCTCGAGCGCCAGGCGCTGCTCCTCGCTGTAGAAGAACTCGGGCTTGGCCTCGCTCGAGCGCCAGTTCACGTGGTTGTCGTCCAGGCACTGCACCTGGGAGAAGGCCATGGCGCCGCTGGGCCGCGCGCTCCGCGAGGTCGAGTCCTCCCTACCCCGGCCCCGGCGGGCCGCCTCGGCTGCTCCACGCTCCGGGAACCTGCGGGAAAGACCTGAGCGGCGCGGGGCAGGTCAGAGGGCA